GGGGGGGGCAGTCCTGCCCCTGGAGCTCGGGGTCTGTGGCGGAGCTAAACTCTGGCCATGGCCACTCCCTAAGCATCCTGAGTGCGGAGCTGGGCGGCCACTCCAAGACAGTAACCCACCCAGAGTGTGCACTGGAGAGGGCTCCCTGAGGACCCCACACTTCAGCCAAGGTTTGTGGGGAGGAGTCATGAGCCAGGGCTGAGCCAGGCAGGTCCACAGTGCAAAGGGCCTGGGGCAGGAGGGAGTGTGACAGACTCGAGCAGCTGCAGGTAGGAGTGGGGAGCTGGAAGGGAAGCGAGGGCTGCACCACACACAGCCTCAAAGGCCAGGACGTCCCCAGACCACAGGGAGATAGATGCCTAGAGGTCACAGCCAGGGTGACGTGACAGGTGGAGGTGTGCTCACTTGGAGGGTGACACGAAGGCTGGGCTAGCGCAGGGCAGGGCCTTCAGTTCCGATCCTCCTACCTCCCAGGGCTACCTTTCCTACATCAAGAGCCTCCCTCTCAACGACATGCCCGAGATCTTCGGCCTGCACGACAACGCCAACATCACTTTTGCGCAGAACGAGACTTTCGCCCTGCTTGGTGCCATCATCCAGCTGCAACCCAAGTCGTCCTCTGCGGGCGGCCAGGGCAGGGAGGAGGTGCATGGGCGCAAGGGCAAGGGCCCGAGGGCTGGGAGGGCTGGGCTCCAGCATCCTGCCTGCTCCTCTGAGAGAAGGAGCACTGCAGGGGAACCTGCAGGGGCCACAGGGAGCCAGCCCTGACCCCAGTGTCCCTCTGCCCCCTGCAGATAGTAGAAGACATGGCCCAGAACATTCTGCTCAAGGTGCCTCAGCCTATCGGTTTGCAGCCAGTGATGGCCAAGTACCCCGTGCTCTATGAGGAATCAATGAACACGGTGCTTGTGCAGGAGGTCATTAGGTAATCTCCCCCACCCAGGCCCCGTCGGCCACTGCTGTGCTGCAGAGAAATGACAACAGGAGTTCCGTGGCCGGGCACCATGCCAGGTGTTACACACCCACCCTTTTTACTGTTCCCGTGTACAGCCCCAGAAAAGGCTAAGTGATGTCCAAGGCCACACGCTGGCTGAGGGCCAGGCTGCCTGATCCAGCCCTGGGCTCTTGGTCTCTACGTCCTGCCACTGCTTTCCTGTCTGTGGCCCCAGACTGGGACACACGGACACTGCCACGCGATGCCCCACACACTGCCCGCTTCCTTGCCACTGGCCCCACAGGTACAACCGACTGCTGCAGGTGATCACGGAGACGCTGGGAGACCTCCTGAAGGCACTCAAAGGGCTGGTGGTGATGTCGTCCCAGCTGGAGCTGATGGCGGCCAGCCTGTACAACAACACTGTGCCCGAGCTCTGGAACGCCAAGGCCTACCCCTCGCTCAAGCCGCTGTCCTCATGGGTCATGGACCTGCTGCAGCGCCTGGACTTCCTGCATGACTGGATCCAGGGCGGCATCCCGGCTGTCTTCTGGATCAGTGGCTTCTTCTTCCCCCAGGCCTTCCTGACGGGCACGCTGCAGAACTTCGCTCGCAAGTCTGTCATCTCCATCGACATCATCTCCTTCGATTTCAAGGTCTGGGCTTGGTCAGGGCCAGGTCAGGTGACAGCCCAGGCAGCAGGGGCACTGAGGCCACAGCCGGCTGGCAGCCAGGGGACCCCTGAGCTGGGGTTTGGGAAGAGCCAGGCTGGAAGAGGCCATGAGCCCCAGGGAAACTCAGGGGCAAGGCCCATGCTGTAGGTCACCCGCTAAAATGGTGGTGAAGTGACAGGCGGGCAGATGGGTGGCAGCTCCACGGAGGGAGTGTGTGCCTCCTGGCCAGCACCCCAACCCCGTCCTGGGTACTGTGTGTGAACGGCTGTGTGCCCAACACAGGTGATGGCTCAGTCGGTGTCGGAGCTCAAGACAAGGCCCAAAGAAGGGTGCTATATCTACGGACTGTTCTTGGAAGGTGCCCGCTGGGACCCGGTGGCCTTCCAGCTGGCAGAGTCTCGGCCCAAGGAGCTATACACAGAGATGGCTGTCATCTGGCTCTTGCCAGTTCCCAACCGCCAGGCCCAGCAACAGGACTTCTACCTGTGCCCTATCTACAAGACGCTGACCCGTGCTGGTACGGGGCCTGGGGTGGGGAGCCTACGCTACAGGTGGGGCCTCGGGCCCAGGCCAGCTCAGCCAGGCAGCTGAACAGGAAGACTGAGAGCGCATGGGCCAGGGCAGCTAGGCCTCTCCCTCTCCCACAGCCCACGTTCCTCGACTCAGGTCCTGAAACCCAGGCCTAGGGTTCCAAGATCTCTAGCCAGATCTACCTAGTAGGCCCTTCCCCCACCACAGCCCTGCCTGCAGACCCAGGCCAGCAACCACAGGACACATGTCTTAGGAGAGTTTTATTCGTTCACTGATCCAGTATTTATGGGGGCTGGAGGGATGGGGCCATGCTCAGCCCAGAGGGGCAGCCACCCATACCTGCCAGCAGCAGGA